TAGTTATTACATCTTTTGGTTCTTAAATTGAGCCATCTTCAGATAATATAATAAACGCAGTTCATTTTTTACTAAAAAAGAACCCGTAAACTCAATCTAATACATTCAATCTAATACATTTTTGTCATTTAGTTATATAATTTATTTTTTTATTTCAGCAACATGTTAATGAGTAAGAATATTTAAATATTTAAAAATGTAAAATATGTTCCATTAAATTTGTTTTTATATGAATTTGAAATTATATAATAAAGAATATAGAGCTCTTAATTTAAAAAAACCAATACAAAGATTATTTTTATACAAAGATTAAAACAATACGAGTTCTTTTTATATGTTATCACTCTGTTTTTATGATATTTTTTTTATGATATTTTTTTTATTCTAACGGAAATTTTATTATACGAAATGAAAACTATATTGATGACTATATTAGTGAGTGTTTTATCAAGATGACGTTTTTACTTGCTTTTAACATAAATTTTTAAATTTTTACAAGATTTTTATATATTTTTTAACAATTTGTTTTTTCAGAATATCAAGAAACTCCTCGGAAATGACAATGGAATCAACATTGTTAGAACTAAGTCTCAACAATCGGTCGTTAAACCGTTTGTGAGTAATTTCTGTTTCTCTGTGAAGCATCTGACATTCCATGTTTAACGTTTTCTATCGAGTTTATGGGTTCTTTTTTAGTAAAAAATTAACTGCGTTTATTATATTATCTGAAGATAATCTCAATTTAAGAACCAAAACATGTAATAACTAAGAAGCTTTAAATGTTAATTAATTCATTTGAAAAATTAATTCATTTTTTTTATAACATATTACAGATATAAAAATTTAGTATGAACTTATTCTTAATAAGAATAAATAAAGTTCAGTAGCCATCAATACTTTAATATCATTTAAAAATATTTATTACACAATATAAAGTATCTTATAAGATCGTAATGTGACTAATTCTTATAATTTTTTCTTATTGTAATAACGATCTTTAGATTGCAATATTTCATTTTTTATTGCTTTTTGTTTATATTACAATGTTATCATTTGTTATGTATTTCAAGAGATAGAAAAAATTTATCTCTTTTGTTTATCTCTTTTATTTGCTTACTACCTTTTCTGTGATGTAGTATCTAGGTGCCAATATAATTAAAAATGTATCAAATCTACAATTGTATCAAGTTTGACAACACTATTCATTAACTATTTGTCCATTTAAATTATGTATCAATAATATTAGATCACATAACTTGTGAAAAGATAATGTTATTGGATGATTTTCGGAATGATTAATAATTTAATGGTTTGAACAAAGTATAATTATAAACGGCTTTAATTATAATTCAAAACTTACATAATATAAAAAAGCATAGAAGCCAACGTTAGTTTTTAGTGCAAATTTAGCAATTAAACTTTATAAAAAGTACAAAATGATCTTTAATATAACTATAAACGTTTCGACCTTTATTAGGACATCATTAGTATACAAAATTACCGTTGCATGCATAAAATTACATTAATAATTAGTAATTTGAATTTTTTTAAAGATTATATAAAACACACACACACACACACACACACACACACACACCCACACACAAAGTAAAATAACAAAAAGATGATATTTTATTGTGTATATGTAGATCATTTTTTCTTGATAGATTATGTTTTTAAAAGAGAACATTTATGATACACATTATTTATTTTTTGCATTATTTTATTGTATATATATATAGATCATTTTTTCTTGATAGATTATGTTTTTAAAAGAGAATATTTATGACACACATTATTTATTTTTTGCATTATTGACGTAAATCTTTTAATTTTTTCTTATAATTATTGTAGCAATTGGTCGATTAAATGTTTGTTAAACAAAACAATTATAACGAATAAAAGAATCCTCGGTGGTATTTACAATTGCGTGCGCCAGCAATATAATTGCTTAATTTACTGTTTCAGCAGATATCATTTAATGTATAGCGTGGCATTTATGTCACGTCGCAAAATGATTAATACGTCATAATCTTAAATTATGGTATATTGTTCAATGATGTTCGATAGTAGTGTATCATTATTAGAAATAAATTATTCATATATGTATAGTGTGTCAGACATTAATAATATTTATTGATAATATTCATGCCTTAAATGATCCGATGCATTTATGAACGACTTTTGTTCATTGATTTCAAACGTTATATAATTTTTTAATTTATTTAAAAATTATTTTAGAATTAATTGTGCAAGATATAACAATTTGTTATTTTCTTGTTATTTTCTTTTAAAACATTAAAGAGTAGGATGTTAGAGAGCAATTTTAAATAAAATAATAATATATAGGTTTGTTTTTATGAACAGTTTTAACGAATTGAAGAATTGGACTAATATGATCCGATAATTAATATAGATACAATAATTATTTACAATTATTTATTATTTATAATAATTATTTATAATTGTTTCATACATTTTGTATAGTATCTTTTAGATATAGTATTCATAGCATTATATGGTGCGTTTGGATTGTCATGTATACCTATTATTGACATCAGGAGCGGAAAGGATAATTTTACGATCAAATTATTCGTGTATTAAATATATTTGCATTTAAGTATACATTAAATACAATAAGTGCAAAAAGTACAAGGAAATTTTTTATTAAAAAAATCTTTGTAGAAAATAAACATTAATTATCAATTTTATACAATGATAAATATACTCTAATATAAACAAATAAGTTTCGCATGTATTTCTGATTTTAGAAGCTAAATTTCTCGACTGTAGGAATACTTTTTCTTAGAGCATCCAAACAATACAATTTTTAATTTTCGCTTATTTTTCAGATGATACATTTTCTATAATTAATACATATCTTTTTAGTATATATATTAGGTGTTGGAATTAATTCGTAGCGTTTTACAAGTGATGGGAAGTACTTTCATTAATGTATTTTTTAATGCTCATGTGAAATAAATAACATTCTTTCATTAAAAAACGCTACGAATTAATTCCAACACCTAATAATTTTAAGAAACATAGTCTATTTTATTCTTTATGAATAAATTATTAATTTCTCAGTAAGAAATGATCGTCAATTAAATCGAATCGAAATTGGTGTTGAAATTATCGTATTGATTCGACATCAATTCAATGACTTATTTCTCACTGGATAATATTTTTAAAAAGTTTTTTTTTAAATATTTTCTCTGTACGAATACTTTTTGCACTCACTGTATATGTACTGCAAATTCATGATCAAAATAATTATTTTGTTCCTGTTTAATGTATGCTTTTATTAATATGTGAGCATTCTCGCAAACTTTTCATCTTTCTTTGTTTCATCTTGCAATCTTTGTTATTGTTAATCGACTTTTTTGCAACACTGATGTAGCAGGACGTGTCCTGATTTTGGATGATTTTGAAAGAGTCCTAATTTATTTTTTAAAATAGGTGAAATGTCCTGATTTATAATAATAGGCAAACTTGCGCTTTGTTTGCTTGCTTATATTACTTCATTCTGTAAATCTCTTAGAGTGGATCTCATTCCAAAAGATTTTCAGAATGAAATATAATAATATAATCATGCGAAAAAAGCGCAAGTTTGTCTATTGATAAATCAGGACATTTCACCCATTTTGAAAAATAAATTAGGACTCTTTCAAAATCATCCAAAATCAGGATACGTCCTACATCAGTGTTGCAAAAAAATCGATCAACAATAACAAAGATTGCAAGACAAACAAATTTTGCGAGACTGCTCACATATTAGTAAAAGCATACATTAAACAGGAACAAAATAATTATTTCATAATAATTTGCAATACATATACAGTGAGTGCAAAAAGTATTTGTACAGAGAAAATATTTTTTAAAAAAACTTTGAAAATTGAGCCAGTCTTTGAAAAAGAGTGAAAATATTTTCATCTTTGGAAAGGAGTGGTATTTCACTCTTTCGGAAGATTTTACTTTTTTAGAACAAGATTTCCTCCAAGGAACGAAATTTTACTTTACTAAAAAAGGAGTGAGATTTCATTCTTTTGAGAGGAATCTCACTTTAAAAAGTAAAATTTCATTTCAAAGGAGTGAAAATTTCCCATTCTTTTTTTAGGGTAAAAATATTTTCATTCTTTTTTGAAGATTGGTTCAATTTTCAGTCTTTTGGAATGAGATTCCCTCCAAAGAAATAAAATCTTATTCCTTTTTATTTTATCTAAAGAGAATTTTTATAAAAAATAGTCACTTATTTCATAGATGTCTTGATTTTTTATGCCGGTCATATGGTAATCTAACTAATCATGCTTCTTCTTTTTCTAATTAATATTTACTAAATATTTATCTCATATATATTAATATTTACTAAATATAATAATATTTGCTAAATATTTGTTTTATAGTGATACACATGTTGTATATATCTCAGTCATACAATTGTTTGAAGTTACAGCTTGCATCTTGACTTTACATAAACTTAACTTGACATTTACATGAAATCAAGAAACGTATATTTAAAAAATGATATCCTTAAATTCTCTTAAAAAAGATAATAAATGTTAAAAGAAATAACAAATATTAAGTATAAAATATAAAATAGTATGCCTTTTTATTAAAATATATATAGAATACAATTTAGGACATAGTTTAAAATGTAAATGAGAGAGATAGTTTCATATATAGTTTAAAAAGATAATTGTCATATATATATATATATATATAAAACACGATTAGAAGTTATGCTTGCTCAAAAATATAAATTCCGTGATTTTTCTGTAACTTTAATTGAGCAGTTTTAATATTGACATTACGCTAAAAATTTCGTATAAATGCGTACTTCACATTTACATAATATGTGTCTGATGACAAAAGTTACATTGCAGGACGCATCGCGTCGCAAATTTATTCTTCGTTGTATTTTTCTTTCACGATCAGTCCAGGTTCCGGTCAGTTTCACCTTCTCCTTCCTCATTTAATTTCGATTTGGTTTTGCATTTCAGGCAAAAGTCAAGAATGAAGGACCAACGGCGAGACGGCGAGTGAAAGTGAAGCTGGGGGAATGTACATTTTACCTGGACCAGGTGTGAAAGTGCAGTGCGTAATACAAACGTAAGAAATACGTGGTATAGTGGTACCTGTCGAAATCGCTATCGACAAGACAACGGCGGGGGACAGACAGTAGTGATGATAACGACGACGGTAATGATGACGCAGCTGTGTGTTCAATGTGAGAACAATGCCCAGTGCAGTGACAGTAGATGATGATAATAATGATGATGATGATGATAATGATGATGATGATGATGATGACGATATTGATGATGATCTCCTGCACACGCAATATTCATTTTGGGTCAACGTGCTTACAATTGCTAATTAGAGCATATACAATTAATTAGTAATTTCTAGTGGATTATCTAAGATTTTTTTATTCCACTTTCGACTCCAGTTCGAATATCGAGGACACCAATCCTAATAAAAGAGTGATTAAAACAAAGAGCTTTCTTTTATATTAATAAACATTATAAGAAACGGCTGAAATAACGTGATTGATCTAATAAGTGTCTTATTATTAGCTTAATTACATTAAGTGAAGTTATTTTATCGATTAACAGTCTCGAAAGGAGATTATTTCTTCTACAACGTGAGTAAATCGAAGAACGAAGATGAAGTTTATTGCATCTTTGTTCGGGACGAGGTCCCCGAAGGCGATGGGGAGGCAATACATGAAAGTTGGCAGAAACGCTCTTTTTGGTGTGAGAAATGATAACAGTGATAATATTTGTACCGAAAAGGTGCCAAGGCCGTTGTCCTTGCTAATCTCTAGGAAGGGAAAGCTCAGACATGGTGAGTAACTAGTTTTATTTGTCGATAAACCACTTTAAGTTTTATGTAAAGCAGAAACTTGTTGCGCTCGAAAATTTTGCAATTTTTAAATTTTTGTTTTGATTTATAGATACCGATTTTTTTATTATATTATATATTCATCTAAAGCATTAATTAGTTGAACTTAATCTTGAAACTTAAATAGGTTAAGCAATGACAAGGTTTACTCTTGCGTAATTCGATTAATCCGTTCTAAACCACGATTCTCTCTTAACTGCAATTTTCTGCCGCGACTAATGATAATACGTTGTTAGATGCTTGCGAACTCGTGCCGGTAATCAGACCGGAACAATATTACAGCATGAGTAGTAAATTGCCATTGTTCATTCGACACTTTCCTTAATTAGTCGGTATCTGAAAGGTAGTCGATTTAGCGTTAATTGATCTTTACAAGATAGTCTGCTAATAATGTATCATTTGAATACGCAAGTCATGGTAATTGTCAAAGAAATACGATGTAGATATATGACAAACAGTTTCTTCATGGTGAGAATTGTTAAAGTACATACCGGGTGCTTTGAAAATATCTGAATTTATTCAAATTTATTTATTATTTTTTATAATAATTTATGAATTTTTTAAAAATATATTAAAGTTATATGTTGCTAGCACACTTAATTTTACTATAACAATAGACAAGTTAGTCATGATTTTCTTATATTTTAATTTCATTTTCCTTTTCTTCTTCTTCTTTCACACTCTTATCCCCTTTCTCTCTCCCTCTCCCCTCCCTCCCCCCTCTCTCTCTTTCTATCTTTGTAAAAAAGAGTATTATTTTTTGTTAGTGAAATATTAGCAATTAGATATATAACTGTTTCTATGTTTACTAACGTTTAGAATACAAATTAAATTTCAATTATTTTTAATATTATATATAAAATATATATGAAATAAAAATATATGAAATAAAAAACGTTCTTATAATATAAGAATAATCTATTTAAATATTATATTTAAATTTAGCTGTAAATTTCTTACTCTCTAAATCTGAATCAGTGGATAATCACTGATATTAGTGCCAAGTGTGCCACTAATAATCAGTGAATTAAATGTGAGATCTTTAA